TCAGAGGGACACAGATTAAAACAATTATAATTAACAGATAATTAAAAGCAAATAGGTACTTCAAGAGAAAAAAGAACCCCTCAGAAGTGATGCTCAAAAAACTGTTTTAAGGAGTGAAAGCAATTTTGCACTCGAAAATCTTTTGTTTTCTGGAATTGAATTGAAGCCTTAAAGTTTGGGGCATTTTGAGTTATTATAAGTTTTGTTAACGGTACAATAAAGTTATTTTACACGCTTTATATTAGCTTCACCTGTATGTATGTATGTTTGTTGGTATGTATGTATGTTTGTATATATGTATGTATGCTTGTATGTATGTTTGTTTGCTTGTAACTACCAAGCTTGGGATCTGTATTGACATAATTATCGACATTATTATTATTTGATCTATTCGCGGGCAGATGGCGCTATACGTAACCTCCTTGATAGGTTGTTCAAAAGAAAATAAAAAATAAAAAATGGATTTTAAGGATTTAAGAAGTGTTAGCGAAATTTTGTACTAGAGATGAAATATTTAGATATTTGAATATTTTCAATTACTTGTTTTGCGCTTATTTAAAAAAATATTTTTAACTTTTTAGCTCGATGTTCTTTGAAAGCGTGTTTTTTAGTTTTTTAAAACTATATTTATTATGTCTAGTGTTATCCTCATGTTTAGAATCAATCTGGGGGATTGTGTAAATATACACAATTCTAAAATATAAAGTGAGGGTTAATACTTCCAGGTCTTTGAATGCGTTTCTGCAGGAGGTTCGAGAGCTCAAACCTAACCCTGAACGAATTATATATTTTTGTGCTATAAAAACACAAAACGTTTTTTTTGAGGACAAAACACGAGCACTACAGGAAAATCCTTGAGGCGCTCTAAGAGCGGTGCCTGTGCGAAAGTAGTGATTCACATTGGATTTCAATCGCTGGAGATTAAATCCGTTTGGAAAAACGTTCTCAGGAAGTTTATTCCACATAAACACAGGGTTCCAAATGAAAGAGTTCTTGAACAGTGAAGTTCGAGGTGTACTGAGTTGAACCTCAAAACGATGAGAAGCCAGTCTGCCGCGTGTTTCTGATATGTACCGCTCATGGTGGAATCAAATGTGCCAAGTCACTTGAACACTTTCCTTGACAGTATCTATAGAAGAAATGAATCTCCAACCTTACTTCGATGTTCCAGACTATCAAGGCTGCAAGTGATGTTCGCGTCTCCAATCAGGTGGATGGATCTTTTCTGGATGGAAATCAGCAGCTTCAGGGTATGCTTAGAGGCGGAGCTCCATACATGAGAACAGTAATCCAAAGAAGGTCTGATCTGAGCTTTATAAAGCATCAAAAGTTGCTGAGTGTGTACAGTTTTCTGGTTCGGAGCAGCGTTTCAAGCTTTTGAGAAGCAGCCTTTGCAATTCCAGCGACATGATTGTGCCAAGACATATTAGTCCGGCCGAACACGGACCACATATTTGCAGTTGAGGCAACCACAACATTGTGGCCACGTTAACTGCACTTCGCGGTTGACCCAACCACATTTTTGTGGTCGATTTGCGGTCATATAAACCGCACTTGCAGTTGAGGCAACTGACATCAAAAATTGAATGCTGTGAGACCAATATGAGAAAAAGTACACGACGGTGTACGCGGTTGGGTACGACTGCAAGTTTGTGGTTAGTATACGGCGATGGCATCTCGGCGGAGATCAGCAGCAAGTTGACTGCAGACGCCCGTTTTGACTTTTGTGAACGCCCGTGTACGTCTATTACTGTATTTCTTATGGGCGGCTTGAGTTCGCAGGAACGCGACTGCAAATGTGTGGTCGATCCGACCGCAAAATGTGGCTCCTGTACTTAGTGTCTATTTTAACCCACAACAAACTTATTGAAGCAGAAAGCGGAATTGTCTGACCTGATATTATTATATCCGGTTCGGAATATTTATCTTCTTGGAGAAAACCGATGCCTGACCTTTTGTGACATTGAATTGAATCTGTTTGGTTTCACACCAATTCGAAATTGCTTCTAGATCCTCATTAAGATATGCAACCTCCTGCTGCCGGTGAAGATGTGCTGCAATCGGTGTCCTGGAATCCAAATGGAATGACGAAACAAGTGTGCTGTCGTCAGCAAAGCAGTGTATTGGATTCTTGGATGAAGTTGATGTTCTCTGAAAGGTCACACCATATCGTAATCTACTTTCTACCTCTGCATAATACAGCTGCAGAAACTGATCAGGATTCAAAATTTTTTTTTTATAATCCTAAATTGATAGGCAACTGTGTGAAAAGCATGGAAAGAAGATCTTCGCAGTATATTAGTCTTATTCTTGTGATGCATTCACATGATTCAAATTTTCATATAAAATATCCTCTTCAGTAATTTAGAAATGTTTGCGAGGATTGAATTGAATGAAGTTTTCCACTCCTCGAATCGTTGAAAATTTTCCAATGTATGTACTCGAATTACCTCCTACATAATTTAAAACCGTCGTTAATAGACAGATAAAGCTGGTGCATTGCAGGAAATTCCGGAAATGGCCAGTTAACATTTGTCGCCAATTGCCAGCCTTCTTTTGACTCATATTTAATTCATGTTGGCGTTTGCGGAATTTGACATTACCTTGAAATAACTCTGACCTCTCCAAGAATAATGAGTTCGTTTGACAGTAAGTTGCTTGGTTTTGGATAGCTCGAAAATGATTTTCTGCTCGAAGCTTCCTGCCGACGTCGAAAAATAATGATCAATTTTCTTGTAATTGAAAATGCAATTGAAAATATCAATGCCTAATAATTTATTCTGAAATATGTATACAGGATGGGACACCCCATACAACACGGTCCCTGTAAACCAAACTAATACGTTTTTCGGGAATTTATCCATTTCATTATATGTATAAATCATCCCTTCGAATTCTGACCAAGCATAAAAAAGGTTTTGGGCTATTGATTTCGATAAAACCCGTTTCTCAATATTATACAGAATGTTAAAAAAAAAATCAAAGTCACTTTTTATAATTTTGGACAAAGATAACTTCCTATTTTGTTGGTCTGAACAATATAAAATTCAATTATCTTTCATTTCATTTTGGGGTTCCCTACATCTATAGTAATAATAATAATATGATTTAATTTCCTTGAGACAGTACAGGCTGTATGGAAAAAGGAAGGAAGGGTTTCATACAAAGTGCATATACCATCAATAAACGAATAGCAAACACCACATAAAAAACATACAAACGGTTATATATAACAGATAATCGAAAGCAAATAAGTACATAAATAGATGAGAAAAATAAAAAAATACTCCCTCAGAAGTGATGTTCTAAAAACTGTTCTATGGAGTAAAAGCAATTTTGCACTAGAAAATCTTTCAGATTTCGTTTGAAAATGAAAATTGAGCTACTATTTTTTATGTTTTCCGAGATCGAATTGAATATTTCTGGAGTCCTGAAGTTTGGGGCATTTTGAGTTATTCTAAGTTTTGTTAAATGCACTATAAAGTTATTTTTGTGTCTAGTGTTATACTTATGTTCAGAATCAATCTGGGGGAATGTATCTTTTTCTTATACAGATATATACACAATTCTAAAATATAAAGTGAGGGTAAGGTTAATATCTCCAGGTCTTTGAATGTGTTTCTGCAGGAGGTTCGAGAGCCCAAACCTAACACTGAACGAATAATACGTTTTTGTGCTATAAAAACACAAGACGATGAAATTGATGTTGCACAGAAGGTCAAGCCATATCCGTAGTCTACTTTCTACCTGTGCATAATAGAGCAGCAACAACTGATCAGGATTCAGAATTTCTTTTATATTCCTAAATTGGAAGGCAACTGTGTGGAGTTTGGAAACAAGATCCTCACAGTGAGATTTCCAATTGCTTATCAACATTTAATTCCAGAAATTTCGTTCTTGTGAAATTAGTGAATATCATAGGAAAACCAAATGATATATATTCACAGGTTCTCTGCGGGAAATGGAATCTAAGGCATTTTGTTTCATCAATATTCAGAAAAAGACGATTTGCCGAGAACCAATTATTAACTGCGAATAAAGTTTCCTCACAGTTTTCCCTTGTATAACTTTCTCGGGTATTGGAAATTATAAGTGAGGTGTCATCTGCGTACATAGTGAAGGATGCTGGCACAGGAAGCTTATCAATGTCGTTGATGTGAATTATGAATAGCAAAGGGCCTAGTACTGACCCTTGT